TTGTTTATTTTATGTGATGATGGTTAGCAGCACTTGTACATAGGTTTAAGTTTCACAGTTCGATCTGTAAACCAAATGTTGGTGTTATTGCAACTTTGCTCTTGTAACGTTTATAGCTGGGGCTGTTAAATCTGTGAAATTTCCTTGATTATGCGCTTGCCTGGTTCTTTGACAAGTTGAACTTGAATCTGATGTTGTGTTGAATTTGGTGTTTGCCTTCATTGACGCTGCTCAAAGGAATGTTCAACTACATAGTGAAGAGTATAACTTTTTTTTTATTTCTCTGGAGGACTATGGAGATATGAAAGTATACTCATGTATTTGTAGCACCTAAACTGTCACGCTAGCTCCATACCTCTTCGGTTGTATATATACATGTCATGTGAGTGTGTGTGTGTATATATATGAATACTGTTATGTATTTTTTGTGTGAGTTGTAAACTTAGTCGGGTACATACCTTATTCCTTCATCACCAGGACACTGTCAAAAATCCTTCCAGTCTATATACAATCTATATACAATCGAGACAACAACAGTATTCATTAATTACTGTTAAAAAATCCTAGTAATTACTTCTATCCTAACTGTTCAAAAATCCTTTCAGTCTATATACAATCGAGACAACAACAATATTCATAAAACATATGAAGTTAGATATATGACTGTTCTAGGCATTTTATGCACTTGTTTGAGTTCTATCTCAAGAGAACCATAGTGAATGGATGTTAGAATGCCACATGTTCTTCGCTTGTTCTTCCCGAGTAATTTCAAATTTTCTCGAGTTCAACAAGTTTTTCTTTTCTGTTGGTAGATACAATCTATTCCAATTCACAGCATATATATATTCACACTAGCTCATAGAGCACAACAAATTCATTGCCATATAAACGGAAAAATTACTAGGATACAGTTGGGGGGGGGGGGGGGTATGACTTCAAATTATGCAAACTAGGTTATAACTGAATGATTAATAACCGAATGCAAAGGTGGTTGAAATCTCAAAACTTCAGCATCTAAGTACATATGTTGTAACTTCAATTAACAAACAGCAATGAGCCTTAACGAAACAAAAATTCAAGATAAATCAGAGGTTTGCATTTAGGGCCTGTTTGGCTATTTCCCCCCCAAAAAAGGAAATGGAAATGTCACATTTCAAATGCTTTTATGACATTTCAAGACATTTCACAGTTTTCTTTTCTTTTGTTTGTTTCACAAAGAAAACCCCCCTTTTCACTGCCAAGTCACACAAAAAACAAAAAAAGCCTCCATAGTAACAGTGTTGGACATTTCCATTTCTTTTGTTTGTTTGAGAACAAAAAAAATGAAAAGAGAGAAAACCAATTTAAATAATATGTTTTATTCTTCATAACCTTATAAACAGTGCTTTTACTAATTAATAATTCTCAGATGGGACATTTCCAAGTGTTTTCAGCCCATTTTGTTGTGAAAACACATTTCTTGAAAATGTGAGGTGGCATCCTACGTGGCACTTCATTTCTTGAAAATTAAAAACGAAACAAACACTTGAAATGGAAACCTCTTGAAAACAAAAACTCATGTGGCACATGGGACATTTCTTGAAAGTTGAGGTGGCAACACATTTCTCATTTTTTTTAAGCAAACAATTAACAGACCCTTAGTAGACGAATATCAAAGAGTTATTAATCATTTGGAGAGAAGCAAAAGAGAACTCACCCAAATGCAAGACAGGGTTTCAGTTCCCAAAACCTGGAAAAACAAAATAAGCAAGTTATGTAACATGAATCCAACATTAACACTATATAAATCCTAGATCAGATCTAGGGTTTCGACTGTAGGGGGAGAGGCAGGGGGAAGGGGCAGGGGGAGAGGCGGCGATCGCCGGGGGTGGGGGGGGGGCTTTTACCTGTGAGTGAACCAGAGAAAGAGGATCGCGGACTTGAAACCAGAGAGAGAGGCAGGGGGGAGAGGCGGCGGCAGGAGGGGGAGGCGGTGAGCGGGTAGGGGGGAGAGAGAGAGATCGAAACCAGAGAGAGAGAGGGGATCGCGACTTGAAAAGAAAGAGAGGATCGGGTCGGGATTTGATAAATGACAAAGGATGGGGTGAAATTTGAAATCACTTGTTTTGGGCTTTTAAATTCCTCTTTGTTAAATCAATTGATTCAAAATCTAGATCCAAATCAGAACCCAAACTAGATATTTGGATTTGAAATACCCTGGATTTTAAATCCAGGGCCAAATCCAAGTTCCCAAATACATCCTTAGGAATTTTCGTTCAATTGATCTTACCCCTTTTAGCTTGGCCTTTATCTGCTTGATATCACTGAGCGAAAATGTGACAGTTGATAAGGTGATTGGTCTATCTTCAATGCCAACATCCCCTGACCTTATTGGAGTTACGCTATCTTTCATGCTACTCAACGCGAGACTCCAACTGAAGTCTTTAATTGTGTTAATGCACATCGAGAAAACATTGGATACAGCCCTATAAACTCCCCAGTTTTGAGCCTGTGTGCTTCCATTATGGATTTGAAAATATAAAAATATAAAATGTTAAAAAAATTATATGAATTAATTTAAAATATAAAATATATTATAAATTAATACTAAATTATAATACTCATTGTTTAAATAAAATTAATTATCATTTTGTAATTTAAAATATAAAATATATTATTTAAATTAATACTAATTATTTGTTTTGCAATAATATATTTCGATATTAGTCCATTTTGAAGGTATCGATGAGACATTTCCAATGATAATTATTTTTATTAAAAAATATTAATATATTAATATATATATATATATAATATATATATAATATATATATATATATATATATATAATATATATATATATATATATATATTATATATATATATATATATATATATATATATATAATATATATATATATATTATACAGATTTTTAAGAAGTAAAAAAAATGATGGGACACAATTAGAATAATAATATGTTAAGGAGATTGAGAGTTAATATTGTCTTTTTTTTTTTGGGGGGATAGTGAAATGGAGGGGGCTGCATATTTGGAGAAAAACTCCAAATATTGCAGTGGCTGTTTAGGTGGGGGGGGGGGGTTGGATTGTAACCGGCGCTGCATTTTGGAGAAATGCAGCCTGGTTGGTAGTAGCTCTTAAGAGCTCATATTTGTAGTAAAATCACAATCACGAACAAAAATCAACAAAGAAGGGGAAGTTCTCTTTCTTCTTTTTGAGAGGACAAACCTCCCATCAGGCTCATCACTAAATAGAACAAAACCTACTTTCCAAGATCCAATATTTCATTGAAATTTCGAAGTTGCCTAACCCACCAGTCCACCGCCACGACACCAAGGGGCCGTTCGGCTCTCAGGCACATGCAGTGGATCTCATAAAAATCAGGAAGGTAGTTTAGATTGTTTTTAAGGGCCTGTTCGTTTGCCTTAAAAAAATGGGAAATCAAAGAAATAGAAAACTATTTCTAAGAAAAATGGGTTTTTTAATTGTTTGGTTGGCTAAAAAAAAAGGAAATCAAAGAAATGGAGATGAGATGAGATGAGTTGTCACATTATTATTGGATGATGTGAGTGATTTTTTAAGAAAACTAGTTTTGATGTTGTTCGGTTGGCGAAAAAAAATAAGGAAATGAATTATAAGAAACCTATTTCCTGTAGTTTTCTTGTTTTCTTTTGTTCGGTTCATTCTTAAAAATAAGAAATGAAATGAGATGAGATGAGATGTCATTGTATTATTGGTTGATGTGAAGAAAGATTAAGAAAAGTGTTTTCACAACTTTTTGGGATGAAAACAAAGAAATGAAATGTTAATGAGATGAGGTGAATTGTTATAATATTTTATTCGATGATGTGAGTGATTTGAAATGATGAAAAGAGATGAGTTGAGTGATGTTTGGATGAAAATAATATTTTATTAGATGTGATGGATGAGTTGTTAGATGAAAATAATATTTTATTAGATGTGGTGGATGAGTTGTTGGATGAAAATAATATTTTATTAGATGATGTAGATGAGTTGTTGGATGAAAATAATATTTTATTGAATGTTGTGGGTGAGTTTTAGGGATGGAAATGGAAGAAATGGATTATTTTGAGATTTCCACCATTTCCATTTCCATTTCTTGGTTTTTAGGAAATAAACGAACAGGCCCTAAGAGGAAAGTGAGCTAAAAATGATGGAAAAGTGGGCATCACATATGATATTTTGTTTTTTCCCCCTTGAAACCACCAAAAATGGTTACCATGTAATGGACCAAAGGCCATAATCCAAATCATAGCAGAGAGGGGGGGGAAAAATACTTTACCACCTGAAGCTTTCAGCCATAAAGTATCCCATAGTGAACTTTAATACCTTTATTTTACCCTTCAGAATTCTGTATAAAACACATCATATAATTATCAAGTGACAAACTTTTGGACTTTTACATCCTTCCAATACCTCTGTTCTTCTTTGGCTACTTAACCATGAACCCATTAAAAATAAAAACAACAACTCATTTCTTCATTTTCCCAAACACAAATTGGTCTGTGAATAATTTGGGAGGTGAAGGATATAATATAATGAGTATTAATGACATTTTACACGCTCTCCCTCAATGAGCATCTTAAAAAATTTTTTTTCCTTTCTTGTGGAAAAAATATACTTCAAAACATCAATCAACTTTAGATAATTAAATGCAAATAATCCAAAAAAAAAAAACAAAAACAAAAACAATATAGTAGAAAAGAATATTCATATCTTTCTCTTCTCCTTTCTTTTTTCCAGAGAAGTTTCGCAAAAGAGAGTATCAAAATCTTTGACGTTTGGGGTAAAAATTGAGGTTCAGCTTTAGCCTTACGCTGAGAGCACACGATTGGCATGGTAAGCAATTTTATTTGTTTGATTTTTTTCTCCTTTTGAAGTGAAAATACAGGCAATGACCTTCAGAAGGCAGATGAGGCTGACATGGCAGCTGACTCCAACAATCTTCGCCGTCCTGAGAGTAATTAAAGATAACAAAAATGACAAGAACAGGGCATTGATACACATTTAATTATGAACTAAATGCTCATATAGTTTTGAAAAGTGAAGGTCAAAGGGTGTGGCTGTTTGTACAACTAACAGCTTTTTATTTCATGCTTAAAATACAGTCTCCCTCTGCCAGTCTATTGCAAGGGTGGGGAGTACATAAATAGTCTTGAAGAAAAGGTATCTGCATTCTTCTTGCATTTCATTTAGAGTACTGGAGGCTGAAGAAGCTTGAAATGTCCATTAGCCTGCAGCAATCGAAGGTGAAAACCAAGCTTAAGAGTTTTCAACCTCGGAGAGAGTAGGCAACGGGCTTCCCGCCAAAAATGACTTGAGGAGTACGAGGGCTTGCTTGGGTCGATGAAGAGGAACCTCATGGCCAGCACCCCTCATGGTAACAAATGTTAGCCCCTCGTACACTTGTGTCCACCCACCAACCTGTTTTAGGATCAATATACAGCCTTTTAATTCTCATATGAATTTAGGAGCAAAAGCAACATGGGGTTTATGTTTTTCTCTAGTAACAAAGGAAAATCGTTTTTAAGAGATAACCGACATTGTTATCATCTGCATGAAACTGTGGCCTGATAGTTTGCGCTTCGTGGATGAAAGTAAATTTACTAATAATATCACACCATTAATTATTATGGTGATCAAGCAATTTTCCCTATAAAAATCGGATTGACTAGGGGAACATGAAAGTGAAGCCTAGAAGGTCTATGCGACAATCAGCTAAAAGCATGGTGCAAGCATCGTGTTATCCATCCGTGGGCAAGAAGAAGCGTGACATTAACATGGTACCAACTATAGGTAAATAGACTCGTGAATCAGAGTAAATATCGGGGAGAAGAGAACATGGAAAAGGGGAATGAGCGAATAGGTTTTCACTTCTCACGCTGATTTGCATTGTGCTGAGAGCATAAATGAGACTACCGACTACTTTCCTTGGTTTCTCTTGCGTAGGGGGCCGACAATGTCCACGATATGGAAAGTTTAAAGGAATCATTCCATGTGCTTATCTTAGTCAACCTAGAGGGTGGGACTCGATATAATAAAGGATACAAGATGATGATCAGTTAAAAAAGAAGAAATTACTCGACACTTCCCTCTTTGTCATGCAATTGTGTAATTCAGCTCTAGCACAACGATACACAGATAAATATGATACCATACCTGACCGTCATCATACCAGGGATGCCACGGAGTTACAGTTGGAAGTTTGAGAGCATCAACATCGTACCGAGTGGATGTAACTGGAAGTACGCTATCTGTATCGCCGCTGCACACACAAATTGTTGTTGGTATATCATACATAAAATTTCTAAATCAGCAATGATTAAGAGAAAACTTGGTCCTGAAAACAAGTAGGTTATTATATAGAAAATGATTCGTAAAAGAGCAGAGAGTGCAAAACAGTTCTGTGTTACTTGCTTATGTGCCAGAAAGTAACAAGTACAATCATGGAATCTTTATAACAAGATGCGCTTAAATTCGTTCATTATAAGAAAATTAACAATAATTTTAAGACCAGGAAAGATTAATTGAGATGAGTTTTGTGATAAGACAGACCATTTGATGCATGAGATATTTCAATATAAGCTTATTTCAAATATCAGCACATGTTAATCATCAAATAATGTTGCAATCATGCAATTACTCTTGTAGAAAAGTTCTAAAAGAAAGTTATTGAGATTGAGCTCACCTGAACATCCATATGCGAAGGCCATGCTCTATAAGCTCATGGTATATGGGTAGTATGGATCTAGAAGAGTCCCTCCAATTGTCATACACAGCATCACTGCAAGAAACAAGTTAACTAATGGGACTATGAAACTTAGTCTAGAATAATATGATTCAATGCCAATCAAGGAAAATCGAGAATGAGCTTTTAAAGCCCAGATTTAAATGAAATGTCTACAGCAATATTGGATAGACGAGAATCGACTCCCCAGCTAATGATAATATGAACCTTCATTCAAACTAACTAAACAAACATGCAATTGGATTTCAATAGGACATTACATGATATTTGACAGGAATTTCACAGCTTTCAAGGAATCGTGATTCACATCTCCTGAATGCCCCATAAAGAGAAGTTAAACCAAGTATCCCTTGTATTTTGGATTAGCTTTATCAAACTTTAAAAGTTGAAGTCAGGAGAAAAAAATAACAAATTGTGTGCAATAATATTAAAATGACAGAATAGTGAGGACAAAATGTGCAACTGACCTGAAAGTGAAATAGCAATTTCCTACCTACTTACAGTTATAGTTATAACAACTAGAACTTATTTCACTCGGAAAAAAAAAACATACATA